GGAACAGCCATAGATATGCATCTCTTTGCTTTACTCTAACTGTCTAACAAGGCAGCTAACATAACCACAACCATTCTGTCTTGTGTTTCTGGTTATAGAGAGTATGCTGAGGACAGCCAGTAGTCCAGACAGCCTGCGATCCCGAACGCCAATGATCACCCCTGACCTGGAGAGTGGAACCAAACTGTGGCATCTGGTGAAGAACCACGACCACTCAGACCAAAGGGAGGGTGACCGAGGCAGCAAGATGGTCTCTGAGATCTACCTGACCAGGCTACTAGCTACAAAAGTAAGATACGGAGGAGTAAACTACACGCCAGTATTTTAAAAGTTGATTCCAGTTACCTCAAACAGTACTGGGGCACGCTAAACCTCACCACTGGACCTCAGACTAATGGAATCTTTTCAGCATTACTAGCTCTTAAAGTCAGAATGACCCACCGCACCTATTTAATGGTAGCAGAGACTACTAAACTAGTTCCCACATTTCTTTGAGGGGTCTTAAAATGTAATAAATCACACTGTCAAAAGTTGAGTGGGTAAATATTTGCATTTGGACAGTAAGGTCATCTGTTCGGATGATATAAAGAATTGTGTATCATTATCATTATCATAGAAATGGTGAGGAACAACCCATGTATGCTGGTAATCAGACCAAAGGATATTTGGAGAAGAAAAAGGGGCCGAGCACCAATCCCTGCATTCCTCTTGCACTGGTTTGCAAGGGGATGTCTGGGAGACCCTGAAAAGGAAACATAGTGGCAGGACCAACCTAGAGTTTTTGAATTGTGACTGGTTTACAGTCAGCGTTTTCAGCAGCAGAGCAGCCCGAGCCTACTATTACTGAAGTCTGTGAAGCATTTTATCATGTGCTTGGTCATAGGCATGGTGGTGGGTGAGATGCCTTGAAAGAGTCTATCACATAGGACGGTTTGTAACTGGCTTGATCATTTTTGACATTTACCTAAGCAAAGTGGTTTCCAGTGTGAGAAAGGACCTTCTCACACACTGACACAGATTAACAGACCCATAACCGTCCCCTACATCTTGGCCACTCACAGTAGGAGCCAATCCAGGAGTCTTTCCTTCTCAGCATCCATGTCCTTCAGTTCATTGTCTCTTTCCTAATTGTATGAAGGAGAGGGAAATATAGCAATGGCATCGGTTACAAGCCAGCCAGCTTTTCAATTTCTACTTGTAATAAGAAAAAACAGATTAATAAAAGGCGACCTTGTGGTGCAGAGCGGAGGGAGGCAGATACAGGAGGTGTCAGGAGACAGGTAATTTGCTGAGGGATTGAAGATTTGGCCATTCATGATGAAAAAACAGAGGCAAATGCAATTGAGAAGCTCATCTTGTCCTTTTCTCTCCATGGCTGTCTTTCTGTGTCTGTCTGCCCGGGCATCTCAGTACTGTGATTCACGACTGGGGTAAAATTCATTCCTGTTCCGTTTCATGACGGTTGACTAAATACAATCCCCAAACATTTCCTTGTGACTCCCAGCATGGCCATTCATAGTAAAATGTTTATAGGTGCTGTGGATACAAGTGATACAAGGAATACAATATATTCTGTAACACAACACTGTGAAAATATGTTTATTGTCATTCCCTACGTTCTCTTTCAGTGAGTGTTCATCTTTCTTAGTTAACAAGAAGATTTGAAACTAAAGTTGGTACTTTTTTTTTTGCTGCCTGTATCTTTATTCTTTTTCTTAGTTCCTGCTCATGCTTTTGTATAACAATTTAACACATTAATATCTAAAGCTGCATAACTAGTTTGACCAAAACAGTTACATTGGTGCTACATACAGTGCACTGCATCCTTTTTTTATTATGTGCATATATCTTGTAAACATGTATTCAGGATTCAAGGTTCAATGCATTCATTCAAGCATGGAAATACAATAAAAATACAAAATGCAATAAAAAAAATACAAAACTGCATTGCATAATAAAACTATTAAAAACTGTTAATAGAATAAATCAAGCAACATAAAAACAAACTTGGATTAAAATTAATTAAATCTTAACAAATGTTTTTTTCTTTTTGTCTTCATTTTGCTGTTCAGGGTACATTACAGAAGTTCGTGGACGACCTGTTTGAGACCATTTTCAGCACAGCACACAGAGGTAGTGCACTGCCACTGGCCATCAAGTACATGTTTGACTTCCTGGACGAGCAGGCCGACAAACACTCCATCACAGACTACGATGTACGACATACCTGGAAGAGCAACTGGTGAGAGAGTTACTCACGTTTTACATTCTACTGACCAAACAAATACTGTAATTGATTATTCAAAGAAATTAAATGTGTTTATTTACAGCCCTCTATTTACCAATAGGTCAATCTGAGATCATCCAAAGAGGATTTTTTTGAACGTGTTTTTTTTAGTAATGAGTGAACTTGGCAAACGGTTTGTCTGAGCCAGATGATATCATAACTTCATGTTCCAACCACGGTTACTACCCTAATTACCCAGCTGCGTAATTACTGATGGACAATGGAATTACATGTCAAAGTGTATTTACATAAGTGGACTTGTAAATGACTATGTTCTGCAGCAGGATCTGTTTAAAGTAATGTTATATAGCCCAATTGCAAATGTCATATGCAAAGTAAATATGGTTGTGAATAACACTGCATAGCAAAGTCATCAATCCAAGTTTTCAAAATGCATGGAAAATTTAAAATGTTGCTACAGTTTGTTCAATGTTTCATTATAAATGACTGCAAGACTTAGTAATATCTTTAGACTGGCATTGCATTTTTAGTTTACTGTATAGTTTACACAGCATTAGGGCCACAACACCTACTGAGCAACATTCGAACAAAAGAACCATTAGAAAAAACTAGGTTTAATGCACATAATGCACTAATCGGAATTGGAAATGAAGTACTGTAATATGAACAATAGTAAATTAAGCAACCAAAAGAAAACAATCACCACAGATGATATGCAACAGAATACATGCTAATACAGACCTTTGCCATCCTACATTTAATTACTGTATATTTGAATTGATGTTTCTTTAAAAATAATAATAATAATAATAAAACTCACTCCTAATCTGTATTTTCTTTCACCCCCTTTAGTCTTCCTCTGCGGTTCTGGGTGAATGTGATAAAGAACCCCCAGTTTGTATTTGACATCCATAAGAACAGTATTACGGATGCCTGTCTGTCTGTGGTGGCCCAGACTTTCATGGACTCCTGTTCAACATCAGAACACAAACTAGGAAAAGATTCACCTTCAAATAAGCTCCTTTATGCTAAAGACATCCCCAACTACAAGAACTGGGTAGAGAGGTAAGTTTAAACTAAACAAACTGACATTAAAGTGAACTACACTTAACTTGAGAATAACTAGAGAATACCAGTATACCAGTATGGGACATGAAAGAGCGTACTGAGCTGCTGGAATCTGAAAAGGTGGACTACTGTATACAGCAAATGATGCTTTTTAATATTAAGCTAAAAACAATGTACGATGGAAAGATCATTACAGGTTGAACTTGATCTGACACCAGCATTTAAAGCATTTTGCTAAAGTCAGAGTATGTAGCTGGATTAAAATTACTGTCACGCAATCATGCCCTGTAATGACAGCTGGTTTCCTCCAGCATTACAAATATAAACAGATACATATATTATGCTACACAGAAATGTAAAAAATATCAGCAAAACAACACCGAGCAAAAAGTGCTCTCTGTGACATTTTCAACTTCAGTTTCTGGTCCAGTCCAAGTCCAAGACACATGTGGTCTTTGATTTTCAAATCTGTTTCACCTATGATGAAGCAAGCGAAGAGAGAAAACATGCAGATGAAAGAGGGATTTGCAGCAAGTGGGTGGCATCATTTTCCAAATGGAGTCTCACTGACAAATGTCCTCTTGTTCATCTTCATCTTTTATTTAGCTCCAGAAAGTTTAACTAAACTCAATAGAAGTTACGCACCACCAACACTTGCTGTGCTGGGAAGAGTCCAATAGTTTCTCAGTATCTTTCCTAAACTGCTACTTTGTGGACTCTGTGTGACTGTCTCCTTTGTGACTTCTCCTACAGTATGTTGTGGTTTTACTGATTACCAAGATCTCATGTTTACAGGTTAGAGAACATCAGGTGCTGATAGAAAAAAATGACATACAACACAAAATAATTTGACTATAAATGTTGTGTAAAATGGCATATTAAACACGCATTCCCCTCTTCCTCGTGCCACTGCAGCACTCATAGACAATAAAAACTTATTCTGGTACAAGATCCATTTCTTTATATTGAGCAACACAGTTGAATGTGCTTCAGTAAGTCCTAAGGCTTGCAGAGAACATTTGGAGGCAGTATAAGATAAGGATTTATAGGTGAGGGTTAATTGGGTGCAGTTAAGCTGAATTTTTATTATGCCTCCTAACCTGCACTCAACCCTGGCCTGGCCTGCTGCAGTAAACCTGCATATAGTTGAGCTATGGATTCTGCAAACTGATTCAGGTACAACTCAATATTGGAATGTACATGTAATCCTGTATACTGTATTATTAACTCATTGTGTTTTCTGCCCACATCACATTCACTAGACTTTTTATTCCTCTGCTGCAGCTAGCAACACTGAGTTCTGCATTTGGAGGTGGTTTTTCTTCCGCAGACAGAACAGACCACAATAAGTGCAAGTCAATATTCAGTTTGCATGAGGCACTATACAGGAACAGAATGGTGGAAAAGGACCTGAAACCTTTATTTCAAATAAAAAAGCAAGGGCCTCTGCAGTGTTATTATTTTATTATTTTATTATTTTATTTTTTTGCGACACTTGTTGCATTTTGATTTTTGTGTAGCATCCTTGCCAAAGCAGTTTATACATGCAGTGTATTTATAATTTAGCCTAAAAAAAACCACAGCATTACACTTATACTACATTTTTGGGCAAAGCCAAAATCTTTTATAGCATTTTCCCAGCTCAATAAATTACATCTTGACAGCACCATATGATGTTATGTCAGTGACACAATGTGACAATATAAAAACAGCTACTCTAAGTTAAGGAATGTGCTCATACACTGACAACACTCACCGATGGCCACTCATGTGACTAAATGCTGCTGGTTGAAAGCTGGATTTAAAATTTGTTTTGTTCATGATATTATAAAGGTTATCTGAATCCAGTCCAGTTGGAACGTAGATCAGCTAGTAAATCAAACACGTTCAGCTCAGCCCATCACAACAGTCTGGTTCAATGCTGTATTACTGCTGATGCTGCACCAATCCACCTGCCAGTCTCATGTTCCATTTACAAACAAGACCCTGAGAAACTCCTTCACACAAGGCAGCAACTCACTCCCAACCTGAAAGGAGCAATTCGTTGTTTTTTGGCAGAGAACAATGGCCTCCAGCTTGGAGGCAGTGGTACCCAGCCCCCAGCCACCCAAACTGTGGTCTGATGAAGCCAACAGAACCACATAGTCTGCAAAAAAGCAGAACCATCTCCCCCAGCTGAGCCTTGAGACCCTGTTGGTCACAACGAGGATTGGCAACGAGGGACAACATTGACAGAGGTCAACACCAGCTGCAAACATGTTTAACTTGATATAAAAACCGAATGACTCTTCTTTACCATCCCATTTTTTAGTAATAAATAAAATATAAATTTGGGATGAGATAAAAAGTTCCACCCTTCCTGCACTCCCTCAAATGTGTCCTACTCTCCCTTCATCAAGAATAAAACACCTCCCTTTCCTGACCCCTCTCTCCTCAGTTGCCACACAGAAAAGCCTAAAGCGATGTATGCTATGTTTATTTGCCCTATCAAAGTGCTCCTAAGCATCAAAATATTGTGCATGGAAATGTGAATATGAAGACTGGTCAAAAGCTGAAACTGTATTTAACAACCAGTGTGTCCAGACAGTAAGTCAAGCTTTGCTTGGAATGCATATAATTCTTAAACCTCTGCTCGGCCTTATAGGTATTACTCCGATATCTCCCGTATGCCAGCCATCAGTGATCAGGACATGAGTGCCTACCTAGCAGAGCAGTCCCGCCTGCACCTCAGCCAGTTCAACAGCATGTCTGCGCTGCACGAGATCTACTCCTACATCATCAAATACAAAGATGAGGTGAGCTCTTACTGCATGTGGAACAGAATCAAACACAATATAGTGTTGTAATTACATGATAGCAGGGTGTGCTATGTCTTCCCCCCATTTTACTTGTCTTGACACCATGAGGTCATTTTAATTCAATTACACTGATAACCAGTCCAAATCAGCACAGGCCGGAAGGTATTACCACCATTAGGATGCGCATTAAGGCATGAGCTCAACACATTATGAACCTAATGGAGCTTCATTGAATTTATGTGATTTTTCCTTTTTCCCCCCCAAGAGCTACATGTGCAGTTTCCCACAGTTGCTGCTGGTTGATTAAAACTCAACATTTTTATACCAACCAGGAGTTTGTGTTCCACCTATTAAAGGAATACTCAAATATTTTATGTAATGAGCTTATATGCTTTTTTGCTGAGAGTTTAACGAGATACCGCTCTGCCCTCTGACACTAAATATGAAGCTTTTGTAGGGATTAAAGAAACAAGCTATAGCATTGTTAATTAATGAGCCTTAGAGCTGCTGATAGGTAGATTTGTGACTTTTAGATGAAGCCAGTCTAGAATTTTCCCCTTGTTTCCAGTCTCTCTGCTAAGTTGAGCGAATTGGCTGCTGGAAAGAGAGTCACACGTACAGGTATGAGAGTGGTGGCAAGCTTCTGAGCAAGAAGCAACTCGGCAACTTTTAGCAAGAAAGAAAATTTGCATATTTAATGAAGTGTCCAAATTTTTCTTTATTTATTTACAGTGGTGGAAAGTACATTTATTGACATATGGTACTTAAATACACATTTGAGGTATCTGTACTTTACTTGAATATTTTGATTTTCTCCCACTTCATACTTGCTACTCCACTACATTTATTTGATAAGTTTAGCTACTAGTTACTTATCAGAATCTAATTAATAGTACAAAGTATACTATAATCATAAGACCTTATTGATGCCTGTTGGGAAATTCACAAAATACGCAGCAGTACTTCAAATTCGAAACATATAAGGCAGTTAAAATGAGCTCCACCTTTACCAGCTGCAGCATTAAATGTAATGTACACAATAAGGCATTGATAGTAATATAATCCAGTAATACGATATACATTAATTATGTGCTGATCTGCATAATCAGTAATTTTACATTTGGTACTTTAAGTATATTTTGAGGCCAATACTTTTGTACTTTTACTTAAGTAACATTTTGAATGTAGGACTTTCACTTTCAGCAGAGTATGTTTACACTCTGGTACTGCTACTTTTACTTCATTAAACAATTGAGTACTTCTTCCACGACTGTTTATGTGTTACACTGTGACTCCACGCTCATGTGTATCCAAGCAGAGCACATGGTAGAGTACAGTACAAGGCTGAGTTCATCTGTAATGACAGGCGAAAGTTTGCAAATGAAATTGTGTATGTTTGTGTGTTATTTGCTTTTGGTATTTAATTAAAATTAACCTTCATCCTCTCCATCCCTTAACTTTCTCCTCCTATGAGTCACCACTGTTCATATCCCGCTTGACTAATACCCTCTTCCTCTGGCTTCTGATGAACAGTCATATGTCCTCGTCAACCTCTGCTTTCCCCAACTTTATCATGCTTTTATGTGGTGATGATAAGTTTTCCCTCCCCTCCTTCCTCCTTTCCATCCCTCTGTAGCAGCAGTATTACAGTAGTCATGCAGCTGGCTCCATTCAAACCAAATGCTCCCCTTCATTACAGCCTATTATCCAGATGTAGGCAGCTACATGGTCCTCGTCGCCTCTAACACATGCCCTGACCTTACACACGCACACATAAACGTACACGCTCACATTCCCTTCCTAGAGCACTTAGACACCATCATTAAGAGAAAACAAATGCACACATAAATACAGGGTGTTTTTACACATGCTGTGCCAGGTCCTCCCTCCCCTGTTCATGACACACAAAACAAGATGCCAACACACACGCCGTTATAGACATCCCACTGGCCTGAACACCTGCCCTGCCAATCATGGCAGCAGCAGTTAAAAAATGAATCACTAACAGGACAACTGACATAATCAACAAATCACTGGAGTTTGCTGCCTGGTACAAGATTGAAATAACTGATAATATAGTTTAATGTTGCTCCATATTTGTGTCCAGATCCTTTCAGCGTTACAGAAGGACGAACAGTCACGCAGACAGCGGCTACGTGGTAAGCTGGAGCAGGTCATCGACACCATGGCCCTGGCTAGCTGAGGACCAGCCAATCACACGCCTCGGTTAGCAGAGAACTGGCCCACTAATACGCCTTCCTGACAACCTTTGACATTTTGACCCTCGATGTTCGAAGTCTGTCGTCATCACCATCACAAACAACAACTGACAGCAGCGGAAAAGACTGCAAGGACACAAGCACACTGGAGAAACTGCAGAGTTTGGAACTAAGCCCCCACTGGCAGGGTTGGCTTCTGTTTCTTTTTTTTTTCCTTCTGAGCCACCAACCTTGCCATGAACAACCAAATTAAATGCACCCTCCGCCTCAGCAGATAGGGACCTCAGCTCAGGAGAGCATTTACTTTCATCAAGGGCATCGTCACATCTAGAGTTCTACAGGAGCAGCAGTCAGGTACTTTGGCCACAGTCAGAAGCACTACATGCACACTGGTGACCAAAAACTCATCTAGCTAGATCGAGAGCTGAAACACTACAGGAGAAGGTATAAGCCACCAGTGAGCAGCTTTCTGCAGCAGAGGGCTATGGTTCTGACTGTGGGCTAGTAAAAATCCAGGATATATTATCGCGATACTTGATCCCTTTCTCTTATTTTTGTTGCCACCCTCCGCAGCGAAGTCGGAAAACAGGGGCGGCCGCAGGGCTGGTAGGAAATTGGTGTGTTGCTCAAAGACACTTCAGCAGAGCGGATGCTTGAGAACACACAGGATGCTGCCACTGCAACCGGGAGGAAACGCTTCAGCACTGACTGTCCAGCTCTCTATCAACAACAACTCCACTGTAGTCTGACAATGGTCATTTTCAGTTTCACAGCTGTGCATTTGATTTGTTATTGCATTCAGTTCGGTCTCCCCCCACCCCCACCCTCTTCCTACTCTCCCCCAGTGCTGTGCCACTTGTGTTACTGCTGAATTTGCACAACAAAGCTAAATCAAAAGAGAGAAGATGATATATGAATATATATAGATATATAAATACAAGCCTTTTGTTTTTGAAACTAAATGAAAAGTTGAAAAAAAATGTTTTCCATTTTAATGTACAAACGATAAGTTTGAAAAGAGGATTTGATATTTCCAACATGAAAAATTATGAAAACACAAGGAAACAGTTGTCCTGTGCCATGTTTTACTTTGAATGTCGTTTAGTGCAAAGAGACTTCTTTTCGTTAGATGAAATGTGCTATGATGAAAATGTTGTCATGCTTAGTGACTGAAAGTGAGAGTTTAAAAATAGGTAAATGGCAAAAATATATATATTACAGACACTTTCTCTATTTCCTGAGGTCTTGGGGCTGTGGTTTGTTAGTCTTTGGCAGTGAAATAACAAACAATGTCTGGAATTCACCTGTGAGCCAACCAACCTGCTTTTGTGTTTGTTTTTGAGAAACCAAATACATGATGGCCATGCAGCTGATTTAGATGAGACAAAAAAGTCATTTTTGTGGAGGCCAGCATCATGCTTTGGAAGCCAACTACTGTTAGGCAGTTATTTAAATTGAACCCAGGCACACTGTGCTCTACAACTTTTTGATCTTGTCTTCTAGACTCGCCCTCGTCTGAAATATTTTATAATGTGTGCCATCCGAAATGAAGGCTAGTTTTGGCGTGCAGAAGAAGGTGAAACAGTATTGTGTGATTTTTGGCTCGTTTTGTAGTCGGCGATAAAGATGGTAAAGCTAAAGGTTCCATTTCTGAAATGTGAATGTTCTTTACAAAATGAGAATGAAATGTAGCTTGATTTATGTGAGTGATTTGTACCAGTTCAATGCCTTTTCTCTTTTGTCCATTCTGTGGTTTTTATAGGGGTTAAAAAAAAAAGTTTAAATGATTTCGTTCCAGTATGTGCTGCTCCACATTAACTTGTAGTGCTTCAAAAAAAATATGCTTTCATAAACAAGGCATTTGTTTCTCCTATGAGTGTAAAAGGGTTAGAAGACAAATAAAGAAGGCAAGGAGATCTACTGAAAGATGTTAAACAAACCAGGGTACTATACATTATACTGTAAGGTGTTGTTAATCCTGTGAGACCTGTAAGCAGGGCAGATACATCAACAGCCAGATGAGCTGCATGGGCTCAAGAACAAACGCCTCTGCTTATTCCTGTTTGTTTCTTTTGAGAACAATACAGCTGTAAAAGAAACAGTTATCAGTGCCTCAGAGTCATTAGGCCTGGTTCCTATAAGCCTCTGATTACCTTTGCAGTTGTCCAAGACCCTAAACTAAGACAGTTTAAGAAGAGGAAACTAAAAGATGACAGTTATTTCTTGTTTCCAACCTTAATCATATTTTCTTTTTCTATCTTCGTGATGGATCATTGTGATTGTAGGGAGTGCTGCTCTGCCAGTACAATCCAACAGAAAAAAAGAGAAGCGCCAAGCACACTTTGCAACAGAATAGCAATCCATCCGCGGTGAGACCCGCTTGCACCCAGCATTCTCATTTCCCCTGGTCTCAAACAACCTTTAATTGAAATAGATGCTGATTTTAGGTTTGCACACATAAGGAAATTTCTGATGCCACATTCACGTGATTGAGTATTAGGTTTAAAATTCCCTACCCCCACGCCCACACACATCTTTAAATTGTAATTGCATGTGCAAGTAGCAGCATGTTTTGCGATGTGTCAACATTACTGTCACAGTTTTTTAATTAACAATGAACCTCTATAATCAAGGATGAAGTGGATACAGAGACCGGCAAACTATCGTTAGGCATGTGAACAACACTTAAAACGCACCACACAGACTAACCGACATACCCCAAGTGATCATTGTTGAGGCACAACAGAATGAATAGAAAGTGTAAGTGGGATTTCCAGTCATCCACGTTTATGGAATGTTTACCTCTAACCCCCTTTAGATTGTGTCTTAGAGCAGTGTTCCCTTCAATCACATGATTTGAAAATTGTAATGAAGGTTTGATGAGAATGACCCTGAAATAACTTGACTAATAATATCATGACAGTGTGAAACAGTGGTACACTAGCAGCATCACGCTGGCTACTGCAGATGAGGTGATTATGTACCTAACATCTAAAAATTGATCTGAATTAATCAAAAGGCATTTCCCAGCTACGCCCAAATAAAAATGAATAATAGGGCCTATATATTCACTACAGTTGTGACGTCGCATTTAAAGTAGAAACAGTTCACTGATAATGCCCAGGGCTTGAAGGCCTATGTCAACTCAGGGCTCTGTTTTCCTGCAATAGGACACAGCGCTACACTTGTGTCTAAATTCCAGGTGCAAGGCACATATGGGCGTGTCCAACTTTTTGTTTTTTTTTGTAATTTTGGTGACCACAGACACAGCACCACTTTTGTGTGCAGCCAGGCATAACCGGGCACATTGTGGAGGAGAGGCAGAATACATTATTAGGGGGAGAAATACAGGAGTAAGTGGAGTTGGGGTTGGCTTTAATATGTCCAATCAAACCAGCTTCTCTCATCCCCTTTAAAAAGCAGGACGGAAGCCTGACTGAGTGATATCACTGATGTCAAATCATGGAAATATACGGGAGGAAAGATTCTTCCCCTGTATCTTCTTCTCCTGCCAGCTATGTACTCCATTCCAAACCTGACACAGACAAAACTATTTATGTAGAAGTACTAAACATGAATATTCACTCAGTAGGCTGCTAATATCACTGACTAGCGTTTGTGCACGGAAGAAAGAAAGTTTCTGATCCTGTAACCAGCAGCAATTATGTAGTGTAATTTACTCAACAGCTGTATCCAGTGTGTGAAATCCACCGGGGTCTCACATATAACACCATAAACGTTTCACTGCTTTTAAAAAAATACATTAAAATCATATTGTAACCACTTTATCTCCACCTACAGCTGTTTTCAGAGCCAATCAAACCACCATAAAATGCAAACAACTGCTGCAACGTACGTTACTTCCCCGTGGTAGTAACGACAGTATGTCTGGGTGAAGCTCTTTTGAAGAAAGCTCAACAGTGTCAGCAGCCACAGTGGGGTCGGACTGATTTTACCTGCTGTGTAACAGGAGACGCCTGCAGGGTGTTTGTTATTTATCTTGGCTCTTGAACTGCTTTCATGTGTTATGTGTATTTTAACATGGATCTGGATTCCCAGACACCAGCTGCAGATCATCTCTGGCTGCATCCTGTTTGGCCATATTCATATTTATAGACACATATTATAGACTATTTATCTTATTTAAAAAACTCTTTCTAAATTATTCACACATATTTCATGACCCACAACCAACTATTCAGAGTGAATTCCAGCGGATAAGTTGTGGATTTAAGGGTTCATTTTAAGTTGGTGTGGCCGTTAAAATCCATGTGTGTACCTGATCTCCTGCTTCCAAGGCAATGCGCTTGTCAGGAAAATTGAAAATACACCTGTGACAGCGATAAGAGGTGGTCTGAGCAGGTGTTATCATTATCGCTATTTCGGGTCAAAGCCGGCACCAAAGTTGCACTGTGCTGCTAATTAGCATACACTCGGCCTCAACTGCGCCTCTCCTCCTACCTCAGTGTGAGCGCATTCGTTCACAGCAGGAAAATACCAAACACACCAACACGCAACAAAAATTAGATGCGCCAAAGGAAAATTGCCCAAGGACTACGAATGAGGCGATGCAGATGTTGCGTTGGCAGGAAAACAGAGCCCTCAGAGTCAGTAACACACTTTTTATAGTCTTGAAATTTTCAGCTAACCTCATTTTTGTTTGTATCCTTTTACATTATCGTGGTACTACTTTACCAGACCCGTTCCCAGTCTCCAAACCAGCCACATATCACTGCTTTCAAAACTTTTGATTCTAACAAAAGTACATTTCCCCTACATACATTTTAAAGTCCTTTAAAAAATAATAGTGTCCATTTTAATCTATGGGTATTGGCCTGTAGCTCACACAAAGATGCTGTGTTTTTTTCTGACAGCAAACTGTCCACGTGTTTGGGCAGAATGAAACGTGCTGTATGTGCTTCAATACTTGAACCACTGATCAATACAGGGTAAAACAAGATACAGAGCAGCTGACCAAAGCTTTTTTCATCCACATCAAGAAAGCAACTCAGTGACAAGACATTATCTTTGCTCCATCCACTTCCTCGGTTCTTTGACAAAATGATTTTAGCTCTAAGTTGCCAACAACCCCCCCAGTGACGGAATTTAGTGTTTGTCTTTATGTTTGATGAATGAATTAATGAGTGAATGACTAAAACAGTCTGATGCTGTGATCATTGCATTGATGTTTGACTGCTAGTGGCTCAATTGTTCTTTTGATGAAGACTTGTACAAATGATTTTAGTGCTGTGGAAAGAGTAATGAGGTCTACAGTCATGGCCAAAATTTGGCCACCCCTACATTTCTGTCATATAACACACCACGTCTCCCAGAAGATTGTTGCAATCACAAATTCTTTGGTATTCTCATCTTTATTTCTTTTGTTTGTAGTAGAACAACACAAAAAGCAGAAAACACGGTGGAGGTTCACTGATGTTTCGGGGTTGCTCAGTTGCTTCAAACATTAGCTGTCTTGACTGTGTGTAGCATTATGACAACTGAAGACTACCAATGAATTCTGGGACACAATGCAGGACCCAGTGTCAGAATGTTGGGTCTCCATCAGAGGTCATTGGTCTTACAATGACCCAAAGCAGACTTCAGAGAAAACACCAGAAATGGTTTCAGACAATGAGCTGGAGAGTTCTAAAGTGGCCAGCGATGAGTCCAGATCTAAATCCAACAGAGCGCCTGTGAAGAGATCTCAGAACAGCAGCTGGCAGAAGGAACCCTTCAGATCTGACAGACCTGGAGCAGTTGGCAAAAGAAGACCTTTCAGTAGAGAGGTGGAAGAAACTCACTGATGCTTACAGGAAGCAACTGATTTCAGTTATTTTGTCTAAAGGGTTGTGGTTTCCACAACAGGGTGTGCTACCAAATATTAAGTTGAGGGTGTCAATAATTCTGTCCAGTCTGTTTTTGGAGTTCTGTGTGGAATGGATCAGATTTGGCTTTTTGCTTTTTTGTGTTGCTCCAATGTAAACAAAAGAAATAAACATGAGAATACCAAAGACTTTGTGATTGCAACAATTTTCTGGGAGAAGTGGTGTGTTATCTGAGAGAAATGCAGGGGGTGCTAATATCTTTGGCCATGGCTGTAGATAGTAACCTCTAGCTCTAGGATCACTTTGTAGGGAGCAA